GATGTCCGACCGCTAGGATAGCAAAACGGAGTGTATAGTGTAGTAGGTGTTGGTGGGCTGGTAGAACCTCAGAGCAGTATCTAAACTGCCCCTGGAGTGGAAACCCCGTGTCGTTGGGAGACTCCTTGGTAATTAGGGCAGCTTCAGGACCCACAATCCCTAACCCCCCATTTTGATCCCCTTATACCAATTAAAACAATGCAAAAGTAATATCAAACACAGCCAGAGTCAAACATTAATATCACAGCAGTGACATTACCACATCAGCAGAGCATATGTCATATTTCAACATTAATCAAAACCACATCAACCACAGTAACCAATGTGAAACTATAGTTTAACCTTAGCAGAGTTTCTATTCCCCTTAAACAATTTAAAATCCAAATGATCAACTAATGTCAGCCTTTTCCAGGGAAGGGTGTTCTTACCTCACTCTAAGACCAAGCAGATACCTTCAGAGACCACCAGAAAGACCAGGAATTGGGTCGAAATGTACAAAGTACAAACCGGTTTTATTAAGGTTTTAACAAAAATAGCGGATTTACAAGAATCCAAAAAACAACAAAAGTCAAAATACAAAAGCAACAGGATCACAAGTCAAATGTCCTAAAAAAGCCTTCTAAAAGAGCCCAAGCCCAGGGCTCAGGGCCCAGGGCTTGGGCCTGGGCCAAAGAGCCAAGACCCTCAAGCTCTCAAGCCTCCAAGCCTTCAAGCCTAAAAAAGCCTTAAAAACTCCCCTTTTCTCTTCACACATCATCTTTTATAGTCTCTTGCCTCCTCCCTCTCTGCATCAGGTGGTTTCCCCTTTTCTATATTTGAGGGAGAAGGAGGTCACATATGTTCAACTTTTACTTAATGAACAATTAAAAATGTCAAGTTAAAATTAAAACAAATAAAGACTTATAGTAATAATATGCCATTTTAACAAGAGGGAATATGAACATTTTTCATGAAAGCAGAACACATTGTCAATGTCATGTTTAGAATCAAGTTTTTTCTTAAACATTTAATTTCAAATATGCAAACTTTATACTTTAATTTATTAACAGAGACTTCATTTATTAACAGAGACAATAAGGACAGCTTGTCTCTACGATTCGCTGGTCCAGGAAGTTGGTTCAAGTCCTTTGCGTAGGCCGCCTGCATCCTGTGCTTCAGTGTCTTCATACCCGCTGTAACCGCAATACATAAAAGTAAAAAGCAAATTCTTGTCAAAGTTTAAAAAGCAAACTTATCTCGAAACAATTGAATATTATCATAATGTCACACAAAAATAATAGAATATAATGATTAAAAATCATGTACTGTATATCAGAAAACATAGATATGCACCACTGAGTATATAAGTGGGTTTAAACAACACAAAGCTAAATGGCTTAAGCATTATCATAAGTAGTCAAAAATGTATAGTAACATGATGTTAATAATAAATCAAGATACTCTGCACTTTTAACGGCACAATGTCGGCAGGTCAGGTCCACAGCATTTCTGGGGCCTTCTCTCATCTGTGGCCCGTCTGGTCAGCTGCTGTAAAAGATTAGTTTGGAGGCACATAAGTCCTAGACTTCTTAGCCGGAGGAGGACAGGTAGACCCTTCCCCAAGCTCCCTAGGACTAATGTCAAAATAATCTTCGAAATGTTCTGTAACATACCAGCGAGGTGGTTCCCTGTTATCCCCGCGGAGTCTCAGTGAGAGACCCGTCCTAGATGCTGGCAACAAATTATCAGATACATTTTCTCTCTGATATAAGCGTCCATCACCAACCAACCACTCAACAGAACGTCTATAAAGGGACTGAAAAATTGCAATAGTAAATATCACAAATGTTCTTAAAAATATTGTTACATCTACTTGGTTTTAAATTCATTACTACCAACCAGGAGTTGGATAAACACCAGATACTACAAAAGGAGTTGGTCAAAATCTCCAAAGTGAGCAAACCTATTCTATTCAATCACGCCTTAAACTGAGGGCACTTGTCTCTATATCATGTTTTAAATTGAAGTTGTCTGAAGTCCTCACCACCAGCTGCTCTTGCAGTAACAACTGGTGTACTTTTTTTATTGTCCTAATGTGCACAATGTAGTGACTGCTTTTTCGTCTTTTGTTTTCTTTGTTATGTTCTCTGTATTTTATATGTTTGTGTTATGTGTTATGTGTAACGTTGCTGCCTTCTTGGCCAGGTCAGCATTGAAAATGAGATTTTATCTCAATGTTTTTATCTGGTTAAATAAAGGTTAAATAAAATAAAAAAATAATTACTTTTAGCAGTTAAAAACCTTCTAACATTATTCTACTTATTGAACTGCTCCCTGATAGGAAGGAACTAATAACACAACTGAACTCTCCTTTCTGCTAAAAATTGATAAATCAATAAACAACTCAGCGTTGGCCGATTGATAAGGCCATTTTGCCAGTTTCTAATAAGTAAAATGGGGATAGCTAAGATCAAAGTCACAAATCCCCCATTCTTTAACGACTTTGGGGTAATCAAAACCAAATAAAAAAATAGTCAAAATAATTCCAATCAGGATCTCTTGTATTGACTGGGATGAACCATTCTCAAAGGTAAAGTTCTGTCTCTCCATTACGTACTGTCACTGTCTCAGGTCCAGAGAGTTGTGAGAGTATGTAAAGGCGGGGGTGCTGATCTCTATCTCGGAGCTGCATGTCAAACCGCATCAACATCCGGTGCTTAACCTGCAGCAAGGAGGAGAGTCAAAAAAGGAGAAATCTCCCTCTAACCAGTTTTGAACATTTTCTTTATAATTGTTTTCTTAAGCAGCTTTTATGGATAAAGGTTTTTAGCAAAGTTGGGAGAGGAGAAATCATGTTGATCTACCGAAGCCAACCTCTCAATTTCCCCCTGAACAACAGGATTCTCCCTCCCTAAATGTCTTCGTTTGTTTAACTCCCTTGTTTTGTTAACCCATGACCCAAAAAGAAACATGTACATTTTGAGATTAGCCATAGTAGTTTAAGGGCCAACCAAATCATCTTAAAGGTGAATTTTATCAGGAACAAAAATAATGTTGTCATGTACAGTAGTGCTTGTTGAAGCAGTCCAAATCTGAACAAAACACCTAAAACTATCGCGACAGCTAGAATAATAAGAAAAGCCAAAAGTCCCCACTTAGCTTTATTGAAAGCATAGAACATTTTTAGCCGTAAATCATTCACAAATGTCTTCTTAATTTTACCAAAAACAGAATGCATTGGATCCTATATTGAACTAGCAGACAAAACTGCTCTGAACAGAAAAAGTCCCAGATGGGACTCACAGGTCCTTCATTTCTCCCACCCCATCCCACGTGCAATGACAGCTAGATATTGCTGCCTTATCCTGAGGTGGTCAAGTGCCAACTATCAGCCTCGGCTGATGCTCCAAAGAGCAGTCTCTGCACAGTAACACTTTGCCTCCCTCTCTTTCCGAGACGAGGCAATCCAGTGGAGGATTCAAAGACGGCCCATTAGGGAGCCGTGCCGGCTTTTCATGGTTTGGGCCGTGCCATCTTACCATGGCAGTAACAACTCTACCAATTACACATTCACCGGGAACATAAGGTCCCCACTCCAAAGGCTCCAGTCTCTCTTCACGAAGGTATCCTTGCTTGGCCATATTGGCACCCAGTAGGGCTTTTCCCACTAGATGAGACCACAAACCCCGTCCCTGGACCAGGATTACCAGCCCCCCGAATGTATTCGCTAGTGCAGTCTGTGGCAGGGCCATTATTTGTCTTTCTTATCTGTGTGCAGTGTACTTAAGCAACATGTGTCAAGCTCAACAGTATTATTTTTATTTACCTGCACTACGGTGTCTTCTCCCTCAGTTTTAAAAATAATAATAATAATACATTTAATTTCTAAGTGCTTTTTCAGCAACACCATTAGTTTCAGGTTTATAAGAGACAGACTAGATTTGTGTGACACCGCGTGATTCTAACAAATCTTGAACATCAAAGTTCTTAAAATGTTTTCCATTATCTATTCTTAATGATTCAATATCTGGAAATTGAATTAACAGTTCTGTCAATCTTGTAGAAAAAGTCTTCCCCGTTGCAACTCTTAGGGGATAAACTCTCTTAGCACTTGAGCCATTGTCTGCACAAATAAGGAAGGAAAATAGTTTGACAGGGGCCCCGCCACATCAACACTGAAGTGTCTATTGGGTGTGTGTGATATAATGTGACGCAGGTGAGTTTCCGTCTTTCGAATACTCCTGAACGCGCACACTCGAGACAACTTTTCCTAAAGTTTATCACTGTCTCCCTTGCCTCAGGTATATCAATCCTTTGGCTTTTCATACACATGACCACTCTATCTGCCCCTACATGAGCTAAGTCTTGTGTATTTCCTATAATACGTTAAGGTGGTCGGGCGGTGTAACTCTCACTCTCTCTCCTTCCTTCCATTCCCCAGGTATAATAAGACGCAAAGACCCCAGGCTAGCTGGCCGCTCCCTTGCTAATTTATCAACCTCCCTGTTTCCTCTATCGGGTTTCCTAACCCTCACTTTCTCTCTAAGAAAACCTTGTTCCTTATCTCTTAGCTTGTATCCCTTTTTCAGTTCCCCCCTTCCTTCTCCGTTTCTGTATCACTCCAGTGACCGGATTCTAGGGTTTGATAGAGGTCTCTTATGTACAACTACGTTAGGAAAAGAGGTATTCTTTACCAGGCTACTTTCAGGTTCTTTTATTAGCTCGGTACATTGGATATGGTTTCTGGACTCAAACAACAAAATCAGAAAAAAGGCTTTTGTGTTCCTTTTTTCAGTTTTTGTTGAAAATCTTTATGGGATTTTTGGGGGATTTTGTTTCTTGTGTTAAAAGAGAAACACACACGTACACGGACCCATATTGCACATGTTCACCAAAGGGTTCAAATGACAGTGCCACACATAAACATGCTACTAATCTCTACGTTTTGCTTTCTGATTAAACTGTTTTTTAGCTCTACTTAATCATATGTTTCATGTTTCAGGTCCTATTAGTTTATAGATGTGGGGGAGATGTTATACTTGATTAGAAGAAGTGATACCACAGTGTAGAAATACTGTAACAAGAACAAGTCTGGTATTGAAATCTACTTAGGTCAAAGTATTAGGATCAAATAATGCTTAAAGTATATGACTCATATAGTATGACTATTTTCATAATAATATATTATAGTCTGGATTCTAATCAATGATCCATTCATGTGAACATCATTTTTAATTTAGCAGCTGGTAAAGGTGGAGATAACTTTAATGACTTGTTATACTTCCAGGTATCTTTATCCATAACAGAACTTCATCATTAAATTGTTGTTTTATTAATAATATGAACCTGCCAAGTAACCTCGAACTCATTTTGTCGGATACATGTAGTAGTATTATAAAACGATATACTCCAGTAAAGTAATTCAAACCTGTACTTACAGTACTTGAGTACACTGATACAAATTATAATAATACTATGATTATGTGTTTAAATTATACAAGAAATTACTAATTTTCTTTTACTCAAAATCTCTCCTTTTATTTAATGTGTTACTTGAATTTGCAAGTAATTTTGTATCTTCATTTTGATAAGTACATTTAAATCATAGCACCAAGTAAATGTTAACTAAAGTAATGTGTTGACCTACAACCATAGACTGTATATATAAAGCCTACAACCTGTGAAAAGCTAGTAAAATGTACAGGGCAATGTGAGTAAAGGTGGGCGACGCCCCAGATGAAGTCAGAGGAGTTTGCGCACGGTACAGACATTTGAAAAAAAGCAGACGGTTCCAACATGGACCCTCGTCTAATATGAATACTCGTGGATTTTGAATCATGTAAGTATATTTGTGTACTTTATTAACTCTGTACATCCCCGTTAGCTTGTGAGCTTAATGTGGATATCAAACAAACGTTTGCTAACGTCAGTGTTTCAGCTTAGCAATTTAGCTAGTTAGCGTGCTAGCTAATTTAGCCTGCTGTCATGGACGAGGCACACACAACATGTAATACTTAGTGGTTTAGTTGTTGCTTCAAATTAGTAAACAGCTGGCGAAATTACTAGTAGTTCAGAAGAGTTTATTTGTTGGTGGTGTTCGCGCTACATTTTCAAATGCTGCTCGGTAGTAAAGCAGTGTGTCGCCAAACTGAGTTTTCCTTTACTGTGGGAGTCAAGTCAGTTCACTCGCATGCATCCGACTGTGTGTGATGCACATGTGTGCTTTTATTTCCTGTGTACAGTGTACACTGAGACAGATAGCGGCACCAGATTCCTAAAAAAAAGGGTATGTCACATTCACTGTAGTGATGGGAATTATGGCTCTTTGAAGGGAGCCGGATCTTATGGCTCCGTTCCTTTCAAAGAGCCGTTCAAAAGAGCCGTTCAAAAGAGCCGTTTTTTTAAGGTTACTAGGTTTATCTGCAAAATAATCACCAGGATAATGATTGACTGTATTGCCAGACCTAATGTCAATAATCGGCATTGTAAACATGACACAAGGTGGCGCCATATCCATGTCATCATGTCAGTGAATGTACTTTGAATTTACCCTCTGTATGTGTTAAGTAAATAAAGTTGCCTTGCCTTGAATGAAATTCATGCAACTCTTAATATTAGATACTGTGTTTTTAAGTGGCGATGGAGATTATTTGTTGATCCTGCTTTAAAGGATATGTTGCCTTTACAAATGGTGCGCTTTATCACTGCCTGGGTTTTGGTTGAAGTGAATCCAAATGCTGCTGCGTTTTCGCGTTTGGCTCATTTACCATCCGAAAAACACGTTGTCTACCTGTCCTGTACCACTTGTTATGACTTCTCTCTCTCGCGTATTCCGTTAAGACCCACCCCATCTCACTCCTCGTGCTGAAACCTACCAAACAGAGTAGGGGCGGATCTTCACAGAATACGTTTGGGGAACAAAATCAAGCTTTTTAAAAGGCGAGTGGATTTTGGCAGGCAGTGAGTGCGGACCAACGATTGAACGATAACAAGAACGGCTCTCACAAAGTAGGACTCGGTTCCCCTCGTTCGTACCAAAGAGCCGTTCAAAAGAATCGGCTCGTTCGCGACCGACACATCACTAATTCACTGCCATGGACACTGCTCTGTGGGCCAGTCTGTGATGCGGCCAGAGGGGTGATCCAGGGAGACTACTGGGAAGTTGAACTGTTGGTGCCTCCTTCTGTAGCGCTTTGTCTCCAGTATCTTTCTGTACTTACAGTTATGTGTGTTTGCTACAATAATTGACATGTCTGTTAAACATCACCACGTTGAAGTTAGACGGAAGCCGTCCTCCCGCCTGGTGGAGCTTCTGGAAGAGTCTGCAGAGGAGCTGATTAAAGAGAACCAGGTAAATGTTCTGCTTGATTTGTGTTAAAAATGTGTCTGCTGTTCTGTTTGTACATCTCTATTCACTAAAGGTAAGTACATCTTGCCATTATGTGAAAAACCTCTTCAGTCTCCAGTTTTTAAGTTAACATTTAGATAAAGTACATTGGAATCTAATTTGACTGTATAATATTTATATATATTTTCAAACTTACTCAATTTCAATGTTTAATATTCTGATTCAAAATGTGTTTTTCAGGAGAATTGATAGTTTGAGCCTGTAGAACCCAATTATTTAATCAGGTTTACTTCCTGTTGGAAACAAAGAAAACATTTAATAAACTGAGCTTCCTTACTTGTAGTCATACTTTGACCGTAACAAATAAGAGTTAATATAAATTCCCATATCCACACTGTAGCTACTGCATATGATAATAAAGCCCTTTGAACCTTTTGAAGCTTACCCCATCCCCTCTGCTTAAAAAGAACATGGCTACTTAAACACTAAATTAAATAGCTAACTCAACCCAATCAGTTTTAGTAAAGTCACAGAAAAGTTTACAGTACTGTATGTTAACACTGATTTACATGTTTTGACAGAATGGAGGCAAAGATATTGTGGAAAAAGGACTATGCTGAGTGTCGTGAAGCTCCATGTCCCCCATGAAGTGCAGCAAAAGAAGACGCCACACCTCCCAACGTGTCCATCTCCATCGAGGGATCGGCGGTGCTTGATGAGGGTGAACGCCTGCCTTCTGCTCACGGACATCATCCATGCAATGAACTTAACTAACACATCAAAGTTGAAATACGCTTCTATCGTTTGCAAAAATCTTTCTTTAACTTAAAGGTGGGGTAGGTCATTTTGGAGAAACCAGCTTGAGTGCGCTGGAATTTGAAAATACACAGCCGGAAAAAATCTGCCACTTCCTTACAGAGCCCCTCCTCCAACACACACGAACGCGCACAAGATAAGTTTGTGCACAGATGGAAGGCTGACAGGCAGGTAGGCCATCCAGTTATTTTAGCCGGGCCGGCTAAAATGATTGGTCTTGCTTTTTACAGTACTACGGCTTCCACAGATTGTGGAAAAATTGTTATGGATTTTTTGTCAAAGCACTTAAGATATTCATTGCTATCGGGATGTTAAGAGCATTCCATGGAATATAACAAAAAGTGTATCTCGTGCCGGTTTCTCAAACGTACCTACCCCACCTTTAATTTCCTCAAGATTTCTCTTGAAAGTCCACATTTTTGCAGAAGCAGTGGTGTAATGTTGAGGTACTTGAGAATGCTCTTTTCGTTGCACTTTATACTCCACTATAAATCAAAGGGAAATATTGTACTTTGTGCTTCACTATCTTATATAGAGTTTATCAAGTATAAGGTTCTGTTTTTTAATTTACAAAAAATGTAAATATTGTTAGAAATCCTTGAGCTATTACGTTCTCAATGGTTGCTACAATTACTACAGGGTACTTTTTACATGTAATACTCAAACAGCATTTAGCTAATTATACTTTTACTTAAGTAACATTTTCATTACCAGACTTTCACTTGTAATAGAGTATTCTTACAGTGGTATGAATACACCTCTCCTTTAAAGGAGAGGTGTCATGCTTTTCCGGTTATTACCCGTCCCCTTGTGTGTTATGAAGGTTTTTATGCATGTAAACGGTGTGCAGAGTCAAAACCCTCAAAGTACACCCTGTAGCGAGTAAAACTCTAACACAGAAAATATCTCCCCAGAACGCCTCGTTGGAGATACGTCACTGCCCATTTGAGTCTTCCATTTCGTTCCGGGTACGGCATGATGTCAAGCGGTACCCGGAACGAAATGGACCAATCCCGAAGAGCCGTTACGTTACGTCCGCGGAGCCGTTACGTTAAGCCCCCGCTGATTGGTCCAAATTGACCAATCCACGGACTTCCTCACACACACACATCTGTGTGCAGGGAGCAGGCAGCTCTGCTGATTTCTCCTCCCTGGCTGCAGGCTGATAACAGACAGTTGGGATCGCGGCAAAATTCTCTCTGCAGACCCATTCTCACAGCGTTTATCAACCTTTTTCTTACTCAATATCAAGCCACACTTATTGTTTTTACTTCGGATGTGAGTTTGTGTGTGCTCAGGATGAATTTGGCTGTGTTTCGCTATGTATCCTAAACAAGGAAACAACACCTCCACGGAGCTCAGCGCGATTCACAACGTCCCGACCAATCAGAGCACACTGTGCTCACAGGGAGGGTGGGGGCTGGAGCTATTGGAGCTACAACGAGCCGTTAAAGGCAGAGAGTGAAATTCAGTGAATACAAGTAGTTTACAGAGATGCTGTATGAGAAACCAATGTGAATTTGGAAAAATGCACAGTATAAATCTATTTTAGTAGACCTCAACAATGGAATTATGATCAGTGGAAATGGCCATGACACCTCTCCTTTGCCACCCCATGTAAAATGTTCTAGAACCCCCACTGTGCAGGTGTGAGGTGAGGCAGGTAAAGGCGCATTTCCACTACACGGCCTCGCTCGGCCTCGCTCGGTATGGCTAGGCCTCGTTAGGACTGGCTCACTTTATGGCGCATTTCCATTACAGTTTAGTACCAGGGGTAGCAACTATAGTAACGCAGTGTAGGCGGAGCCGTGACGTCATCTTCAATGAGAACCCCAGAAAAACAACACAGCCGTTAGCTGTTAGCACTCAGAGCTCACAGCTCCTCATATATGTTCAGAAACTAGACAAAAGTTAAACAAGTACAAACCACAGACTGCCTGTGTCATGGCGAATACAGTCGCTGCTTTATTTATGTCTGTATAGGCCGTTGTTGTGAGTGTGGACGGTCGGAGCATATACTGCGTTAGCTTAGCCAATCTCCATTTAGAAAACACGCATTTTAAAAGGTTTTTCGCCTGCCGTCTGTCTGCAGACTTGTCAAAGCATTAATTCATGGTTTTTACTAACCGGTATCAGTATGTTGTTACTTCGGCATCATTTTGAAACGTGTATTACAATTAAATCACAGTCAAATATGTCCATCTTGTTGTAGTTGTAGCCCCCTTGCCAGCGATTCTCTCTCTAGTTTAGCATACTCAGCCCGACTCAGCCTCGTTGTCTCTGGCCCTAGACCCGCGATTTTATGAGGCCAGAAAAACTGTGAATTAGGACCCGCCGGCCGGTACTAGGCCAAGTGGAAACGCAACCAAAAACGGGCCGCTGACGTCACAGCCCTCTTAAACCGTTCTCCGCTCTGTAGTGGAAATGCGCCATAACACACTGCTGCTGCTCTGGCAGCGATAACTGGGAGCCTCTTATTAGTAATAGAACAGCGAACATGTCTGCAAACACAAACTCTGTCAGAAGTCTGCAGCTGTTAAAGCCACTGACAGCCGATCCAGCAGCGATCAGGAATCACAAACGGAAGTCCTTTAACGTCACACTCCGAGGAAAGGACGTCTCATTGCTCTGAAAACACATTTCCTTACTCCCTCCCTTTTCGTTTGGAGGAAAGGACGCAAGTGAGGGAAGCATGGACTCAAGTTCAGAGACTTAGGATGGACCTCATATCGTGTTCTTCTAAGCTAGAGTAGAAGTGATATTAACATTGTTTTCCGCTTCGTTCTGATGCCTTAGTTTTACCGGGAAGTGGGCAGGGCAGTGATTTCGCCCGAAAGGGACGCACTTATGTGATTGGCTTAAATGATGCAGACATCTGATTGGCTACAGAAACTCCCATCTTGAAAAAATGCATTTGTGAATCTAGCGGCGTCAGGGTGTCTCAGAAATCCACTCACAAAAGCGGATTTTATAGAAATGTAACATCAAATATGTTATTGATGCACAACATTTAACACTTTTAAAGCTCCCATGTCATGCTTTTCCGGTTATTACCCGTCCCCTTGTGTGTTATGAAGGTTTTTATGCATGTAAACGGTGTGCAGAGTCAAAACCCTCAAAGTACACCCTGTAGCGAGTAAAACTCTAACACAGAAAATACCTCCCCAAAACGCCTCGTTGGAGATACGTCACTGCCCATTTGAGTCTTCCATTTCGTTCCGGGTACGGCATGATGTCAAGCGGTACCCGGAACGAAATGGACCAATCCCGAAGAGCCGTTACGTTACGTCCGCGGAGCCGTTACGTTAAGCCCCCGCTGATTGGTCCAAATTGACCGATCCACGGACTTCCTCACACACACATCTGTGTGCAGGGAGCAGGCAGCTCTGCTGATTTCTCCTCCCTGGCTGCAGGCTGATAACAGACAGTTGGGATCGCGGCAAAATTCTCTCTGCAGACCCATTCTCACAGCGTTTATCAACCTTTTTCTTACTCAATATCAAGCCACACTTATTGTTTTTACTTCGGCTGTGAGTTTGTGTGTGCTCAGGATGAATTTGGCTGTGTTTCGCTATGTATCCTAAACAAGGAAACAACACCTCCACGGAGCTCAGCGCGATTCACAACGTCCCGACCAATCAGAGCACACTGTGCTCACAGGGAGGGTGGGGGCTGGAGCTTTGGGAGCTACAACGAGCCGTTAAAGGCAGAGAGTGAAATTCAGTGAATACACGTAGTTTACAGAGATGCTGTATGCGAAACCAATGTGAATTTGGAAAAATGCACAGTATAAATCTATTTTAGTAGACCTCAACAATGGAATTATGATCAGTGGAAATGGCCATGACACCTCTCCTTTAAGAAAAGGGCCGGATACTCCTTGGACCTCTGAGTGACAGTATATCAATGTGTTTCTGTACCTGCTTTGTTTAATTTAACGGATGTATGTATAGTATTTGTTAAAATCATTGTAAACTGTAGATTCATCATGGCTTGTATCAGACAACAGAACAAAAATAAATGTGTTTGTGTTGTTTAGGTCAAAAGGACACCTAGTGGGTACAAATGGTAATTACTGTACAGTGCTTTGAGTTATGTGTTGTACTTTCAGTGTTGCCGTAGTTATGCAGAACACTTATATGTATTCAGACCATAGACTGTATATATAAAGATTCAGACGCACGTTTCTACTCTGCATTGTTGTCTAAGAAAACATGCCTGTAAGTGTTTCTATGCTCTGTTGTTTCAACATTGTTAATGAAGAGTATGTGTGAGGGATACATTGTTAAATGGTGGAAATATTGCTGTGAATTCATTGTTGCAACGATGTATGCTAACCGCTAGCCTTTCAATGTAATTTCCCATAGGGGTTACCATGAAGTTAACGCATCGTTTATCATATGGTTGTTAACACGCGGGAAATGTATGATATGTTAAATTATTGCTATGCTTGAAATGAATGTACATTTTCTTGTGTGTCCAGTTTTACAGTGCTTTCTGAGTAAAACTTTCAAACGGAACTTCTGAAGCAGAGTTTTCTTCCTGTTGTCTGTCTGCCCAGCTGCGGGGGCAGATTAGTGTTGTTTAAAAGGGTCTACTGTTTCATGTTTTGTAGTAGCCTTAGTGTAAAACAGTTTTATTGAATAAGAATTGCATTTGATTTTCCTAAATCTTTCTCCCCGTTTTTTTCAGTGTAACCTCAAACTCATTTTGTTGAATACATGTGATGTAGTAGTATTATAAAACGATATACTCCAGTAAAGTAATTAAAACCTGTACTTACAGTACTTTAGTATATGTACTTTATTACTCCCCACCACTGGTTTATAGAGAGCTGGAGTTAATGATCTGATTATCACTCGGAAGTATTAATAGTATAAATGATTAATTATTAAAATATGCTAATATCATTGAAGGTACATGACTCTTGTTTCTCTTCAGAGCCTGGTGTTAGGCTGGTGGGAGGAGAGAGTCGCTGTGCAGGAGCTCTGGAGGTGGAACATCGGGTAGAATGGAGACCAGTGGAGGACTCTAGCTCTCTCTGGAACCTGAAGGCAGCAGGTGTCGCCTGCAAAGAGCTCGACTGTGGCTCTGCTGTTTCTGTGGGACTGAGAAAGGAGTCCTCAAAGAGACCTGTGTGGGTGATCAGACCTGACTGTCTTGAGTCTGGATCTGCTCTGAGGGAGTGTGCACAATCATCTTCCTCTAGAGACATCCTGACTCTCACCTGCTCAGGTAAGCCCATCAGTGACATCATCAGTGACATCATCGATGACATTTTCATTTATTGTTTTCATTTTCTTGTTTTTACAATTTAAAAATACACAAACCCAAATAACAAATGATAAACAGTGTATGAAGCAGCCGGGCGTAGTGGGTGGGCTACTGGGTCTATAGGCCCACCCACTCATTCATCAACAATGACTGAGAGAAAATATAGTTTACCGGATTATTATTTTTGATTATCAAAATGAATAATTAAATAATAAAATAATAGCAAAAATAAGTTTCCCTTTAAAGAATTCATACAATTAGAAGCAACATTTATTAACGTAATCAGGCTTCTGTTGTGTGAGGTGTCCAACCACAACAGGCCAATGTAAAATGGCCTGTTGTGATTGGCCTACATAGCTCACATAGTCGAAGCGTGGCGCAAACACAACGTAGGACGTCCCACAGACCCCGCAGATGAAGGAGGAAAATATAGCACTCATTTACAGAGTCAAAAGAATCCATGTTCAGAGTTTTAAAAAGAGTGAGAGGGGAGAGGCCAGAACCATCATCCTCACAGCAGGGGCCGTCTCACTCCATATTCTGCCTTTCTAGGCTTTTTGTGTCCGTAAAATATATCAATGTAATGTGAACCAAAATAAATGAACAAGCAGTATTACATTTCATTTCACTCATTGCAGCCTGGAGCACGGCTGATATGAAGAGTCATGAAACCCACCGGGTTATTTGGAGCCTCCACCTCTAGAATGATACAATTCACCATTTAATGGAAAACACAGGATCAATATACAAACAACAGCTTGAATTCAATGATGACGCCATGTTTAAGAACAACGTCTTTAAAAACATCAATCAGATAACACATGTGAAACACACATGTAAGAGTAAAGAATCAAACCTTTTGAAAGTGTCTGTGTGAGAGCAGAGGTGGAGCTGAGCAGGAGCAGAGGATCTGCAGAGGAGGAGGTTTTGTTGAAGACACAGGGAAAGGGTTCACTAATGGAGACCACTTGCTAGAGGGTATCAGATGTAGATGTGAGGGTACCTGCAGTCTGTGTTCTTATAAACATGTGTTCTGTTGTTCATCATCAACTCATGTTGGAACTGAGTCCAGTTTGAATCTCTGAAATATTGTTTCATCTCTTTGATGGTGTGTCTTTGACCTCTGTTTGACCTTCTGTCCTCTGCAGACTCTGTCAGGCTGCTGGGGGGGACTGGTCTGTGCTCAGGCAGACTGGAGGTGAACTCTGACCAGTCTACCCAGTCTAACCCGTCCTGGTCCTCAGTGTGTGAGGCTGACTTTGACCAGCAGGATGCTCAGGTGGTCTGCCGGCAGCTCGGCTGTGGGGCTCCTTCAGTCCTCCAGGGGGCGCTCTATGGAGAAGGGGAGGCTCCAATGTGGACCAAAGAGTTCCAGTGTGGAGGCCATGAGTCTGCTCTCCTGGACTGTAGCTCAGCCTCAGAGAGAAACACCTGCTCACCTAGCAGAGCTGTTAGCCTCACCTGCTCAGGTGGAGAGGAGCTGTGATTGGTTCATTCTGTTCTCATCAAACTCACTTTATTCTCTCTCTGATCACTCTCTTGTTTCTCTTCAGAGCCTGGTGTTAGGCTGGTGGGAGGAGAGAGTCGCTGTGCAGGAGACCTGGAGCTGAAACGGGGAGAATGGAGACCAGTGTGGGGCTACTCTCTCTGGAACCTGAAGGCAGCAGAAATCGTCTGCAGAGAGCTCGACTGTGGCTCTGCTGTTTCTGTGGGAGAGAGAAGGGAGTCCTCAAACAGAAATGTGTGGCTGATCAGCTCTGGCTGTTTTCAGTCTGGATCTGCTCTGAGGGAGTGTGCAGCATCATTTTCCTTTTTCCGTTTCCTGACTCTCACCTGCTCAGGTAAGCTTAACTGTGACATCATCACTGACATCATCAGTGACATCATCAGTGACATCATCTAAGACAGTCGTTTTAAGCAACCACAGTTCATGGGGGGGTTAACTGAGATTAAAAAGTGACATGATATAAACGTCACTGAACATTCATCTGGTAGCAGTGTGACATCTAATTTAGTATCCATCACAATCTGTATGAAAATCCATTTGATATTCATGTGGCAGAAGCTTTGTTTGTTTATTACGGGTAATCAGGTGTAATCAATACATACACAAGGTTTAAAATCAGAACATACGTAATATTTAATATGAGAGAGACTTTATATTTAACATCCTTTATTTAGGACACAGTGTTTACAATTTCCACTGACAGCTAAATGTATGTTTCTCTGTGAATATGCATCAGTGCACGGTACTTTGAGGAGCAGCTGGTGTTAGGAGAGCGTTAGCTGAATGCTGGATGTGTTGGGGGGCATGTCTCTTCTGCTTGGGGCCCCCAGAGGGTCTTGCAGTGCCACTGCTCACAGCCATGAGGCCAGATCAATTAAACCAGGATACATCCTTTACCGTCAAACTGGGTCTGAATACAGCTGCCTGTGCGTTTGATAAATACTTTCTGATGTTATATTTATTATATGCTACTTATCAGCTACATGGCCCTAACGTGTAAAGTTAGACAAGCATTTGTACCAGAGCTTTTCACAAGTAGACTCTTGCAGGCCAGAGTAGCTGGAGTGATTCAACAACAACACAAAGACATATCTGAGAAGAGATCAGGACGAACAGAAAGAGGAAAAGGAAAAGAGAGATGAAGAGACCAGGAGGGTCAGAGCAGGAGGAAGAGGAGGAGATGAAGAGACCAGGAGGGTCAGAGCAGGAGGAAGCCAGGAGGAGATGAAGACATTAGTGAAGAAGAAGAAATGTATGTGAGGAATAAAGATGAAGTGTCAGAAAGAGGGACAGAGGCAGGGATCAGGAGGCAGAGGAGACTCCAGCTGGACCACACGGTATGTTCTTATTCTCCTTACATATTCCATCACAGCAGCACAATCTAGCGGCTCTTAGTATTGACACATATTGAAATGTGTTGCTGCACAGGTCACCTTTAGCTCTCTGAAGAGATGGGTGATGTCATTTGTGTACTTCATTATAACTAAGTACTTTTACTGTACTCACAGTAAACAGAGTTCTAGGGTATCATGAGTACTTTCTGCTGTTTTATACTATATGTTAGTTTGTTTGTCTGAACACCTTGTTTCTCTTGTGCATTAAGAACACTTGTGTTAGGCCATGATTTAACAATAAATAGGTTATACATACAGTATAAAATACCACGTACTGTCGGCCCTCCCATGCCACCCTGACCTCTTGCCCCCCCTTTGCCACGCCATGTAAAATGTTCTAGAACCCCCACTGTGCAGGTGTGAGGTGAGGCGGGTAACACACTGCTGCTGCTCTGGCAGTGATAACTGGGAGCCTCTTATTAGTAATAGAACAGCGAACATGTCTGCAAACACAAACTCTGTCAGAAGTCTGCAGATGTTAAAGCCACTGACAGCCGATCCAGCAGCGATCAGGAATCACAAACGGAAGTCCTTTAACGTCACACTCAGAGGAAAGGACGTCTCATTGCTCTGAAAACACATTTCCTTACTCCCTCCCTCTTCGTGTGGAGGAAAGGACGCAAGTGAGGGAAGCATGGACTCAAGTTCAGAGACTTAGGATGGACCTCATATCGTGTTCTTCCAAGCTAGAGTAGAAGTGATATTAACATTGTTTTCCGCTTCGTTCTGATGCCTTAGTTTTACCGGGAAGTGGGCAGGGCAGTGATTTCGCCCGAAAGGGATGCACTTATGTGATTGGCTTAAATGATGCAGACATCTGATTGGCTACAGAAACTCCCATCTTGAAAAAATGCATTTGTGAATCTAGCGGCGTCAGGGTGTCTCAGAAATCCACTCACAAAAGCATTTTGTATAGAAATGTAACAACATCAAATATGTTATTGATGCACAACATTTAACACTTTTAAAGTCATATATTTGTGGATTTATATTGCATTTATTTAAAACAATAAGTATTTGTGTTTGCATTGAAACATATTTGTGTGGATGGAGACATGTGTGTCTGCTGCCTGAGGAGTCCCCTGGGACAACCAGTCTGAAAGGACTCCTGCTTCAGCTCCACCTCTCTCTGAGCCTCTGGTTTCCAGCAGCAGGTTCTTTGGGTTCCACCATAACAGCACCAAGACCTCCTGGACACAGCTTTGATCAGCTCAGCCGGGGCTCCTCGAGGCGCCCTTCACCCTGAGAAGCTCCTTCAGAGCAGAGTCCGGCTCCTTTGGCTTTCATATTTTAGAACTCATTTTCTAATGGGATTTTTGTTCTAGGATCAGATTCTATTAGATAGGTGAGAAATAATAAAACCTTTTTTTAAAACATGATGAGTCCCTGAGCAGAAGGAGCAGAGGATCTGCAGAGGAGGATGTTTTGTTGAAGACACAGGGAAAGGGTTCACTAATGGAGACCACTTGCTAGAGGGTATCAGATGTAGATGTGAGGGTACCTGCAGTCTGTGTTCTTATAAACATGTGTTCTGTTGTTCATCATCAACTCATGTTGGAACTGAGTCCAGTTTGAATCTCTGAAATATTGTTTCATCTCTTTGATGGTGTGTCTTTGACCTCTGTTTGATCTTCTGTCCTCTGCAGACTCTGTCAGGCTGCTGGGGGGGACTGGTCTGTGCTCAGGCAGACTGGAGGTGAAGTCTGACCAGTCTACCCAGTCTAACCCGTCCTGGTCCTCAGTGTGTGAGGCTGACTTTGACCAGCAGGATGCTCAGGTGGTCTGCCGGCAGCTCGGCTGTGGGGCTCCTTCAGTCCTCCAGGGGGCGCTCTATGGAGAAGGGGAGGCTCCAATGTGGACCAAAGAGTTCCAGTGTGGAGGCCATGAGTCTGCTCTCCTGGACTGTAGCACAGCCTCAGAGAGAAACACCTGCTCACCTAGCAGAGCTGTTAGCCTCACCTGCTCAGGTGGAGAGGAGCTGTGATTGGTTCATTCTGTTCTCATCAAACTCACTTTATTCTCTCTCTGATCACTCTCTTGTTTCTCTTCAGAGCCTGGTGGTGTTCAGCTGGAGGGAGGAGAGAGTCGCTGTGCAGGAACTCTGGAGGTGAAACATGACGGAGAATGGAGACCAGTGGACGGCTTTTACTCTCTCTCTTTCTGGACCCTGAAGGCAGCAGCTGTTCTCTGCAGAGAGCTCGACTGTGGCTCTGCTGTTTCTGTGGGACGGAGAGAGGGGTCCTCAGAGAGATCTGTGTGGTGGATCTTTCCTGACTGTGTTCAGTCTGGATCTGCTCTGAGGGAGTGTGCAGCATCATATTCCTCTCCCCACTTCCTGAATCTCACCTGCTCAGGTAAGCCCATCAGTGACATTGTTTATGACATCATGTCATCTGTCTCTTTGTCTGTCAGTCAGTCAGTCAGTCAGTCAGTCAGTCAGTCAGTCAGTCAGTCAGTCAGTCAGTCAGTCAGTCAGTCAGTCTCTCTCTCTCTCTCTCTCTCTCTCTCTCTCTCTCTCTGTCTCTCTTCTCTCTCTCTCTCTCTCTCCTTCTCTCTCTCTCTCTCTCTCTCTCTCTCTCTCTCTCTCCTCTCTCTCTCTCTCTCTCTTCTCTCTCTCTCTCTCCTCTCTCTCTCTCTCTCTCTCTCTCCTCTCTCTCTCTCTCTCTCTCTCTCTCTCTCTCTCATCTCTCTCTCTCTCTCTCTCTCTCTCTCTCTCTCCAATAGCTTTATTAGCATGACCATATTTACATACAGTATTGCCAAAGCTCTGTATAGTTGTAACATCTATACAAAAATACACACAAATAAACAAATGAACAGTTATAAACAAACTGCTAAGAACATGTTTTTTTTTTACAAGGAATACAGATTAATTTCATTCATATAATACATTAATATAAAATAGAATATGATATATATATATACATAAGATATATAAGATGTGAGACCTGGTGTATCTGCTCATTCCGGTTCCCTCAGACTGTGGGAGGCAGAGACAAACTGTCCTGCAACAATGCAGCTCTCTTTATATTCCCAGAGAAGTATTTTTAGTTTTTAATTTTTAAATATTTGAGAATGCTTATGGTTGAGTTTTGGGAAGAATTGTTTCCGTATAGGTTCAAAAGTTGGGCATTGTGTGAGGAAGTGCTGCTCTGTCTCCACAGCAGTTCCTCCACATTGTTGGCATGATCGCTCCTCTTTTGGCAGCCATGTTTTCTTGTACCTGCCTGTTTCTAAGGCCAGGCTGTGAGCACTTAGTCTGTACTTTGTCAACATCTTCCTGTGTTTAACATCAGTCACTGTGGTCAGGTAGGCTGCCACAGTGTACTGTCTTTTTAGGGCCAGATAGCATTGCATTTTACTTTGTGTTTGGGATTTAGTATTCCAATAAGTGAGGTAGTTTTTTGTGTGTTTTGTTATAATCTGGTTGACTCTAATAGTTGTGGGCTCAGACTGGTCCTGAGGCAGAACACCGTTTGAACCGGTTTGTGAACAGAGTGTCAGGACCAGCTGAGAGAGGGGACTCTTTCCCTTGTTCATCTCTTGATGCTGCAGGGCTTTGTGGTGGTAGGAGTGGGGGTCACTTTCTTTTAGATGTAGCCAATATTTAATTGATCGTTTCTGGATTTTTATTAATAATGGAAATGTGCCTAATTCCGCTCTGCAGGCGTTGTTACCACTCCAACAGTACATAACAGCCTAATAATGACAGCTTAAAGGTGGGGTAGGTAAGTTTGAGAAACCGGCTCGAGATACACTTTTTGTTATATTCCATGGAATGCTCTTAACATCCCGATAGCAATGAATATCTTAAGTGCTTTGACAAAAAATCCACAAAAAAAATATCATCTGTGGAAGCCGTAGTACTGTAAAAAGCACGACCAATCATTTTAGCCGGCCCGGCTAAAGTAACTGGATGGCCTACCTGCCTGTCAGCCTTCCATCTGTGCACAGACTTATCTCGTGCCCTCATTGGTCATGTGCGCGTTCGTGTGTGTTGGAGGGGGGGCTCTATAAGGAAGTGGCAGATTTTTTCCGGCTGTGTGTGTATTTTCAAATCTTAGCGCACTCGAGCTGGTTTCTCCAAAATTACCTACCCCACCTTTAACCTTCTCTACATCGCCTCGTTCACACAATAAATCAACAATACAAATACAACTACAGATTATATAAGCATTTAGTTCAAATGCAATTTAAAATGCTCTCAGGTTTTACACCTCTTATGAAATGTAGACTACATTTATTACGGAGTTTATGTCCGAGCCAACAGACTCACAGATCGTTGGCTACTGAGAGAAATGCAAAATACACAGCATGTAGTACGACACAAACCTCCGCTGTGGATTTTCAAAACAAAATACAGTAAAACTATGGTCGCAGGGCCAAGTTTAACTCTCTGAGGCCTGCATGGTCTGCCTACTAAACACAAATAAAAAAAACGTTTATGCTGCCCCAACAACAGCCTCTGATCATCAACAGACTTCATGCAATGCTTCATCGGATGCGTACATATTCCATCACAGCAGCACAATCTAGCAGCTCTTAGTATTGACACATATTGAAATGTGTTGCTGCACAGGTCACCTTTAGCTCTCTAAACCCTCTTATTGTCTTCGTTCCCCCCCCGCCTTACTTTGGTGTTCGCGGTCAAATTTGACCGGTCCTGTTTTAACTGCTATTACATTAACACAAAAGCCATTAATCATCACCACATTTCATTTAACACCCTTTCGAACTGTAAATATTGTATCAGACTACTGGTATACATGAAAAACTGCAGTAAATATACAAAGAATAGACACTGAACATGTATTGCGTGTGCCAGGTGTGATCCATGTGGGGGGATGGGCACATAAGAGCGGGAAATGTGTCAAATTGTTCTGTGTGTGTGTGCCAGGTGTGATTCACATGGGGGGATTGGGCACATAAGGGGACACACACACGTGTGTGTGTGTGTGTGTGTGTGTGTGTGTGTGTGTGTGTGTGTGTGTGTGTGTGTGTGTGTGTGTGTGTGTGTGTGTGTGTGTGTGTGTGTGTGTGTGTGTGTGTGTGTGTGTGTGTGTGTGTGTGTGTGTGTGTGTGTGTGTGTGTGTGTGTGTGTGTGTGTGTGTGTGTGTGTGTGTGTGTGTGTGTGTGTGTGTGTGTGGTGTGTGTGTGTGTGTGTGTGTGTGTGTGTGTGTGTGTGTGTGTGTGTGTGTGTGTGTGTGTGTGTGTGTGTGTGTGTGTGTGTGTGTGTGTGTGTGTGTGTGTGTGTGTGTGTGTGTGTGTGTGTGTGTGTGTGTGTGTGTGTGTGTGTGTGTGTGTGTGTGTGTGTGTGTGTGTGTGTGTGTGTGTGTGTGTGTGTGTGTCCGGGAACACCATGGCTGTTACAAAGTTGACTAAATCATCCAAAATTCAATGAAAGTGGTGATCAGCAATTTTATATGTTCAAATGTCTACTGTGAAGGATATCATAAAGCCTTAATGCAATCGAATGTAAAACAAAAAAGTTATGATTGATGAAAGTAGTAAATCGGTCAGATTTGACCCGAAGACAACAGGAGGGTTAAGAGATGGGTGATGTCATTTGTGTACTTCATTATAACTAAGTACTTTTACTGTACTCACAGTAAACAGAGTTCTAGGGTATCATGAGTACTTTCTGCTGTTTTATACTATATGTTAGTTTGTTTGTCTGAACACCTTGTTTCTCTTGTGCATTAAGAACACTTGTGTTAGGCCATGATTTAACAATAAATAGGTTATACATACAGTATAAAATACCACGTACTGTCGGCCCTCCCATGCCACCCTGACCTCTTGCCCCCCCTTTCTTTCTTTAGCCTTTATTTAACCAGGTGAAAAATCCCATTGAGATCAACGATCTCTTTTTCAAGGGAGACCTGCAGTACATTGGTTACACATAAAAACAACAGAAAACAAAAAGGACATCACAACATAATTACAGGGGTATAAATTAGCAACCTATTCACAATGACAGGTATCTAATAACATTTCATCCAGCCATGCTTTAAAATGATGCAAGGGAACCAAAATGCTCAGTTTCAATTTGTTTTGCATGGTGTTCCAAGCTAGAGGAGCAGCGCACATAAAAGCTTTAGTACCTAAAACAGTCCTAGCACTTGGCACATGTAATAAAAACACATCCTGGGATCTCAGGCAATAGCTACTTGCCACTCTCTGTGAGATCAAAGAGCATATATAAGTTGGGAGTTTACCCAACATAGCTTTATAGATGAATATGTACCAATGACTGAGCCTCCGTACAGTAAGTGAAGGCAGACCTGCCTTGGCATACAGGGTACAGTGATGAGTAAGTGCTTTACAGTTAGTAACAAATCTCAGAGCACTGTGATAGGCGGCATCTAACTTGTGCAGGTAATGGGCAGGTGCATTCATATATATCAAATCACCATAGTCCAGCACAGGTAAAAAGGTCACAGTGACTAGCCTTTTCCTGGCTTCAAAAGAGAAACAGGACTTGTTTCTAAAAAAGAAACCTAGTCTAACCCTCAGCTTTTTAAGCAGATTAATGACCTGAAGTTTATAAGTAAGACAATCATCAAGCCAGATACCAAGGTATTTATAACAGGTAACCACTTCGAGTACTTGTCCTTTGCCACCCCATGTAAAATGTTCTAGAACCCCCACTGTGCAGGTGTGAGGTGAGGCAGGTAAAGGCGCATTTCCACTACACGGCCTCGCTCGGTATGGCTAGGCCTCGTTAGGACTGGCTCACTTTATGGCGCATTTCCATTACAGTTTAGTACCAGGGGTAGCAACTATAGTAACGCAGTGTAGGCGGAGCCGTGACGTCATCTTCAATGAGAACCCCAGAAAAACAACACAGCCGTTAGCTGTTAGCACTCAGAGCTCACAGCTCCTCATATATGTTCAGAAACTAGACAAAAGTTAAACAAGTACAAACCACAGACTGCCTGTGTCATGGCGAATACAGTCGCTGCTTTATTTATGTCTGTATAGGCCGTTGTTGTGAGTGTGGACGGTCGGAGCATATACTGCGTTAGCTTAGCCAATCTCCATTTAGAAAACACGCATTTTAAAAGGTTTTTCGCCTGCCGTCTGTCTGCAGACTTGTCAAAGCATTAATTCATGGTTTTTACTAACCGGTATCAGTATGTTGTTACTTCGGCATCATTTTGAAACGTGTATTACAATTAAATCACAGTCAAATATGTCCATCTTGTTGTAGTTGTAGCCCCCTTGCCAGCGATTCTCTCTCTAGTTTAGCATACTCAGCCCGACTCAGCCTCGTTGTCTCTGGCCCTAGACCCGCGATTTTATGAGGCCAGAAAAACTGTGAATTAGGACCCGCCGGCCGGTACTAGGCCAAGTGGAAACGCAACCAAAAACGGGCCGCTGACGTCACAGCCCTCTTAAACCGTTCTCCGCTCTGTAGTGGAAACGCGCCATAACACACTGCTGCTGCTCTGGCAGCGATAACTGGGAGCCTCTTATTAGTAATAGAACAGCGAACATGTCTGCAAACACAAACTCTGTCAGAAGTCTGCAGCTGTTAAAGCCACTGACAGCCGATCCAGCAGCGATCAGGAATCACAAACGGAAGTCCTTTAACGTCACACTCCGAGGAAAGGACGTCTCATTGCTCTGAAAACACATTTCCTTACTCCCTCCCTTTTCGTTTGGAGGAAAGGACGCAAGTGAGGGAAGCATGGACTCAAGTTCAGAGACTTAGGATGGACCTCATATCGTGTTCTTCTAAGCTAGAGTAGAAGTGATATTAACATTGTTTTCCGCTTCGTTCTGATGCCTTAGTTTTACCGGGAAGTGGGCAGGGCAGTGATTTCGCCCGAAAGGGACGCACTTATGTGATTGGCTTAAATGATGCAGACATCTGATTGGCTACAGAAACTCCCATCTTGAAAAAATGCATTTGTGAATCTAGCGGCGTCAGGGTGTCTCAGAAATCCACTCACAAAAGCGGATTTTATAGAAATGTAACATCAAATATGTTATTGATACACAACATTTAACACTTTTAAAGCTCCCATGTCATGCTTTTCCGGTTATTACCCGTCCCCTTGTGTGTTATGAAGGTTTTTATGCATGTAAACGGTGTGCAGAGTCAAAACCCTCAAAGTACACCCTGTAGCGAGTAAAACTCTAACACAGAAAATACCTCCCCAAAACGCCTCGTTGGAGATACGTCACTGCCCATTTGATTCTTCCGGTACCGCCTGATGTCATGCGGTACCCGGAACGAAATGGACCAAACCCGAAGAGCTATGGCCACACCAGCAGCGGCGTGTTCCTCCTCCAGAGGTTCGAAGAACCGGCATTTCACAGACGAAAGCTTCCAAAACATTGCCCAGTTTGAGGCCGGATATGCACAGCTTGTTTGGACCGTTTGGAGCAGGGGAAGATCTGGGTATACAACCTGTAAGTTTGCATTGTTATTTGTGTATTTATCAAACAAGACTGTTTAAATGTGTAAACTGTGTTGGACTGCTAAGCCATTGACACAGTGCTAACTGTGCTAACTAAGTTGCTAGAGTTTCCATATATCAACTCTAATATCAGCAGATGGCCTTGCATACATGTATCTCATAGCAGGAGAATGTCTGCATTCACACACAAAATACCTATTGACAGTATACTCCGGGTGATTTGCCGTGCGGTCAGTCGCGAAACGTAATTACATTATAGCTGGCGTATGCAACCATCTAACACACGGAGCTAGAGCTAGTTTTGGTCGGAAAAACATTTTTGTGATGCTACGTTGCTAGCGTTTAAATATATCAACTACAATGTCAGCAGATGGCCTTACATGTTTGTCATGGCAGGAGAATGTCTGCAGTCACACACACGGAATACTCATACAGTATACTCCGGGTGATTTACCGTACATTGTGACAGTACATATACTGGATGTAGCTAACGAGGCTAGCTGTATGCTAGCGCAAAACAATGTATTCATGCAAGTTACATTGTATGGTAGCAGAATACCCGTATACGATTGCAATTATAAACACGTTATTGCTAGCCTAATATGAACCACTAGCTTTTGTTCATAGTAGTTTTATTACACTGCATTATAGTTGCCTTTCCTCCAAGCTAACGTTCATATCGTGTTAGCTACCAAGGTAAACAAAGCTAGGTTAGCATATTAGCAGGCAAGCTGTTCATTACACAACTACTACTAACGAATCTAAAACAACTAAGTTTCTCTAATATTTTGTGATTTGCATTTGATTTCGTCCAGCCAGATCCTGGCGGACAATCCATGACGGGGAAGGGGCTTCTACTACTACTGAGGCCTCGTGCTAAAAGGCACCGCACCGACTCTGCGCAGGCAATATGCGAGGAGGAGGAATGGATGATATACCGTGTGTATATATGTATATTTATGTTCATTTTGTACATTTCTAAAAATAAAGTTTAATGGAAATACTTAGTAGGCCTATCCTTTCTTCCCTGAATTCATATATAGCAAACCATGATTTGATTTCTCATCAAACAGTAGTAGTTTATAACGGGTAAAAATAACTTACTCTTTGTTATGAGCGGCTCGTGGCCACAACGGAAAGACAAGGAGACATACACGAGTTTACAAAACCACGGCACATTTATTGTGGTAAATGCAGAGATAGGTGGTTGAGAGGATCGCAGAGTTAGTCTTCCTGCAGCCGCTTTGGAGAGACTGGGGCCGTCGTGTGACTCCGGGCAGCTGGGCTCCGGAGGTGTCCGTGATCGTGCTGATTAGCCTCTTCAGCTCCACTCCATCGTAAGACAAAGGCCCTGGGGCCGTCACACTCTTCTATAACAACAGTTAAAAATATATATGTATATAAAATATACGGCTGTACCGACGCCATGATAAGACTGATGTTACGCTGAGAGCAGCCGGGAAAAGCACTGTTAGACATGGGCGCAGCCTCTCTGGTGGTTGACTAATCAGAACGAGTGGCCGAGCTGACCAATCGGAGCACACTAGGCTCACAGGGAGGGGAGGGCAAGAGCTCCAACGAGTCGTTTAGTGGAGAAAGAGAATACTGCTGAATACACATGCTTGACAGAGATGCTGTATGCGAAACCAATGTGAGTTTGGAAAATTGCACAGTATAAATCTATTTTAGTATACCTCAACAATGTAATTATGATCAGTGGAAATGGCCATGACATGGGCCCTTTAAAGTCATATATTTGTGGATTTATATTGCATTTATTTAAAACAATAACTATTTGTGTGTGGATCAGAAATATATTTGTGAAACTTTTTTACATTTTTACAAAACGCTAAGTATTTGTGTTTGCATTGAAACATATTTGTGTGGATGGAGACATGCGTGTCTGCTGCCTGAGGAGTCCCCTGGGACAACCAGTCTGAAAGGACTCCTGCTTCAGCTCCACCTCTCTCTGAGCCTCTGGTTTCCAGCAGCAGGTTCTTTGGGTTCCACCATAACAGCACCAAGACCTCCTGGACACAGCTTTGATCAGCTCAGCCGGGGCTCCTCGAGGCGCCCTTCACCCTGAGAAGCTCCTTCAGAGCAGAGTCCGGCTCCTTTGGCTTTCATATTTTAGAACTCATTTTCTAATGGGATTTTTGTTCTAGGATCAGATTCTATTAGATAGGTGAGAAATAATAAAACCTTTTTTTAAAACATGATGTTGAGTCCCTGAGCAGAAGGAGCAGAGGATCTGCAGAGGAGGATGTTTTGTTGAAGACACAGGGAAAGGGTTCACTAATGGAGACCACTTGCTAGAGGGTATCAGATGTAGATGTGAGGGTACCTGCAGTCTGTGTTCTTATAAACATGTGTTCTGTTGTTCATCATCAACTCATGTTGGAACTGAGTCCAGTTTGAATCTCTGAAATATTGTTTCATCTCTTTGATGGTGTGTCTTTGACCTCTGTTTGATCTTCTGTCCTCTGCAGACTCTGTCAGGCTGCTGGGGGGGACTGGTCTGTGCTCAGGCAGACTGGAGGTGAACTCTGACCAGTCTACCCAGTCTAACCCGTCCTGGTCCTCAGTGTGTGAGGCTGACTTTGACCAGCAGGATGCTCAGGTGGTCTGCCGGCAGCTCGGCTGTGGGGCTCCTTCAGTCCTCCAGGGGGCGCTCTATGGAGAAGGGGAGGCTCCAATGTGGACCAAAGAGTTCCAGTGTGGAGGCCATGAGTCTGCTCTCCTGGACTGTAGCTCAGCCTCAGAGAGAAACACCTGCTCACCTAGCAGAGCTGTTAGCCTCACCTGCTCAGGTGGAGAGGAGCTGTGATTGGTTCATTCTGTTCTCATCAAACTCACTTTATTCTCTCTCTGATCACTCTCTTGTTTCTCTTCAGAGCCTGGTGGTGTTCAGCTGGTGGGAGGAGAGAGTCGCTGTGCAGGAACTCTGGAGGTGAAACATGACGGAGAATGGAGACCAGTGGGGGGCTATCTCTCTCCCTGGACCCTGAAGGAAGCAGGAGTCGTCTGCAGAGAGCTCGACTGTGGCTCTGCTGTTTCTGTGGGACGGAGAGAGGGGTCCTCAAGGAGATCTGTGTGGAAGATCAACTCTGACTGTGCTCAGTCTGGATCTGCTCTGAGGGAGTGTGCAGCATCAGATTCCTCTGACTACTTCCTGAATCTCACCTGCTCAGGTAAGCCCAGGTAATCAGTGACATTGTTTATGACATCATGTCATCTGTCTCTTTGTTAGTCAGTCTCTCTCTCTCTGACAAAGAGACAATCACCACTGCTACCTGGACTGTCACAGACTGAAAGCTCTTTGTAATGTTTTCAAAGCGGTGTCTTCAGACTGTGAGGAGGTTTTCACAGAGACTGTTTTTATTGTTGCTGCTGGGGCAGGCAAACATGTGGATCTACAAAAGCAGGAAACACAAAGTAAACAGTACAGCAGGTCAGCAACTCACTAACATGTGTTTCTCTTGGTGAAAGCAAGAGTGAGTGTAGATTTTAGATTTCACTATCTGATGAGAAATATGGAGGAGTTTTTAAACCGTTAGTGTTTCACTCCATCTGTGTGCTCTGTGGTGGAGGGAGAGCTTGGTTTGAACTCTGTTTCTATGTGAAGAGATGTCTTTAAGAAATCCAAAAGAAAAAAAACTCTCTCTCTCTCTCTCTCCAGATAAGCTGTTTTTGCCCAACATCTCTGTGTCCTCCTCCTTGTACGGGGTCTCCGGGGCCCAGCAGCAGGGGTTCCAGGTGTTCAGAGGCTCCACCTTTACCATCAGTTGCTCCATCCAGCCTCAGTACCCAGGAGGCTCCTTCCAGCTCAGCTCCTCCACTCACAACTACACCCAGCCAGCTGTCAATCACTCTGCCCACTTCCTGTTCCCGGCTGCAGAGCCCGCCCACCAGGGAAACTACAGCTGTGTTTATCACATCTCTGCTTTTCCTCAGGACTTCTCCTCTGAGAGCCGTCTGCTCTCCGTCACCGTCACAGGTGAGCTGTTAGAGTTTACTGAAGGACAGAGCGTGATGCTCCCCAGGAGAACGCTGGTAAGGACTGAGTGTTTTACTGTGAGCCCTGAAGCAGTCACACCCTTACATCACATGTAGCTTTCCAGAGCAACGTACAATAAGTGCAATGAACCGTGAAGACATGAATCCAGAACAGCAATTCTCCAGTCAGCTGTAGTTTACATTGGAGTATTGCCATGACTACTGACTGTTTAACAGATACAGCTAGCAGCTTCTCCCTACAGTCCTACTGTCTGGTATGAACAGGAAAAAGGGTTGGGGTTGAATGAAGATCTTAAGATGTAGTTTATTGTAATATAACTGTAGAGAGGAGTCTCCATGCTGAAGTGGGTTCAGGTCTCTGTGTGTTTGCTGACTCTTGATGTGATGCTGTCCAGGTGTTCGATCAGATCCAGAACCTTTTATCATCCGAGCCGCCGTTCTGCCGCTGACTCAGCTGCTGGTGACCATCGGCCTTTACTTCTACTGTAAGGTACGGAAACATGTTGTTGTTGTTCCACTGACTGAATGATAAGGTACTGAAACATGTTGTTGTTCCACTGACTGAATGATGAGGTACTGAAACATGTTGTTGTTGTTCCACTGACTGAATGATAAGGTACTGAAACATGTTGTTGTTCCACTGACTGAATGATGAGGTACTGAAACATGTTGTTGTTGTTCCACTGACTGAATGATGAGGTACTGAAACATGTTGTTGTTCCACTGACTGAATGATGAGGTACTGAAACATGTTGTTGTTCCACCACTGACTGAATGATAAGGTACTGAGACATGTTGTTGTTCCACTAACTGAATGATAAGGTACTGAGACATGTTGTTGTTCCACTAACTGAATGATAAGGGACTGAAACATGTTGTTGTTCCACCACTGACTGAATGATAAGGTACTGAGACATGTTGTTGTTCCACTAACTGAATGATAAGGGACTGAAACATGTTGTTGTTCCACCACTGACTGAATGATAAGGTGACTGAATGATAAGGGACTGAAACATGTTGTTGTTCCACCACTGACTGAATGATAAGGTGACTGAATGATAAGGTACTGAAACATGTTGTTGTTCCACTGACTGAATGATGAGGTGACTGAATGATAAGGGACTGAAACATGTTGTTGTTCCACCACTGACTGAATGATAAGGTACTGAAACATGTTGTTGTTCCACCACTGACTGAATGATAAGGTGACTGAATGATAAGGTACTGAAACATGTTGTTGTTGTTTCACCACTGACTGAATGATAAGGTACTGAAACATGTTGTTGTTCCACTGACTGAATGATAAGGTACTGAAACATGTTGTTGTTCCACCACTGACTGAATGATGAGGTACTGAAACATGTTGTTGTTCCACCACTGACTGAATGAAACAGTGTGTATTATTGAACTGGAGTGATGCAGGAAGTCTCACTGTGTGCTGTCATGTCTCTCCAGTCCACCAGGGGGCGGAGGCCGAGCCGACAGGAGGACATTGAGCTGGATTACCTGGGTGTTCCTGCTGAAGAGGAAGGAGCTCAGGGAGCAGAGTAGCAGCTCCAAGGAGCTCCTCTCACACACATGGGTTTATCAGCTCTTATAGCTTTTAACCAACGTTAGAAAATATAGCTTTTACTCTGAAAGTCACCAGCAATGTGTTAGTGCCTCATGTTTCCTGACTTCCTGTCAGCTCCAAGCCCATTGGTTCCCACTGAAGATGAAGATCTTTAAAAAACATCACAAGTTAGTTTTATTTTGAAAAGTCAATGCAGTCGGTGCAGTTTGAAACCACAGACACACCAACCCAGGCCGCTCAGGAACAAAGTTGGCCAATTAATGCCATATATTAATGTTCAAATATCCTCGAAAAACAGTGTTACAATACCCAGTGTTTGAATCTAATGTAGTGATTCCTGAGATAACAGGAGGAACGCGTTACAGCGCCACCTAGTGTTGGATTTGTAGACCTCGAGCACAACAAGTTTTTTTGTTATTCAATCAACAAATAAGAAAAAGTACAGTTTTTAAAATGTTACGTTTTTCACAACAATTCATCTGATCAGCGAAATGGGACATTTGATCCCCTTGTGGGTCACATGGGTCATTTTAGCAGCAGGACCAGATTTAGCTGAACAATATACAAATAGGAAATTAACAAAAGTAAATAGTCCAAACACTTCTTATTTCATAACAATGCTGATTTTTTTTTATTGAAAATTTTTTCTGAAGAATTCTGCTTAATTTTGGTCTGAAGAGATTGTTTGTAAAAAAAAAAGAAGCTTTTTTTAGAGAAATCCGATTATATTTGTAATTTGCCAAAATGTATAAGATTTTAACTTTTCTTTAATGTTCTTATTTCACATGTACTGAGCTCAGTTTGTAATCATTTTCAATCATTCAGTATTTTTCTTACGTTATATCAATTTTTATGGTATTTTCTGTATGTTGTAGTCATTTAGCTGTTTTTAAGAACTCCACCTATTGGAGAGCATTCCCAAATTCATAAGAAATTAAATACTAACATGCTGTAATTAAAAATGTACATCATTTTGCAGAAGTTTCCTTTTTAAAAGGTAATGTGCTTTGTTATGTGATCAAGAAATGTGCTTGTTTTTGTATTATTGAGGATTGTATTTATTTCACAAGATGATCAATAATATGTAATCATTACTTTTTGGAGTTTTATGAAACATTTGAATTTCTTTTGAATTTCACTTTTTTCAAAGAACTCAGATTATTTTTGTGATTTAGGATTTTCCCAAATTCAGGAGACTAATTATTTCGTACTTAAAATGTTAACATTGTCGGTAAACAAGTGTTGTGATTTTGGAATCGAGAAATGTTTTTGCTTCATAAGAATTTTGATTGATTTTGTTGTTTTTTGCATTTCTGAAGAATTTAGCTTTCGCCTATTAAAGTGGACCTATCATGCTATATTTGAATAATATAGTGTAGGACCATACCTATATAAGGCATATTTATACTTTTTTTTTTTTCAAAATACCAAACAGATCATGCATTTTAGCCATGCCTCATTTCGCTCAATTTGAAAAATGTTAGCTCTGTTTTTGCAAGGGCTGATTCTGTGAGAACAGCACCATCTACAGGCCTGGCATATGTACTACAGCGTCTCCAGCGCTTTCGAACGGCAATGCCGTGGCTGTCTCCTCCTGATTGGTGGAGTTGGCCCAATAGCCGTAGCGCCACTGTCCTGACGTCAGGACAGTGTTCAAATCTGGATCAGTCTGTATCAGATCCGTTGCAGCCCCTTTTTTAGAGATTTGGGTATGGAGGAAAATAGAGAGGGTTGTGTTTTCTGACACTTGGTGAGTTCCCTGGAACACCGGGGACACATATTCATGTATAAAAGACGTACAAAAGTGCATTTTGCATGATAGGTCCCCTTTAAGGTTTTTTGATGTGGCTTTTTTTAACAAATGTTGTATTTGAAGATTTTTCATGATTTTGCTTAATTCTTGCATCACAAATTCTACTTGATTTTATAATGAAGAGTTTTGACCAATTTGGTTTCCATGAGATTACGATGAAGCAAATCGTCTTAAATTCTGAACACAGCAGAATCCTCCAGAAATCATGACGATGTTCAACATCACTGTAATAAATGCTGTCATTTGCTATGTACCAAAAAAATAATAAAACTTCTTTAATAATCCATGAAACTCTGAGAGTGAGCTGATTTCAAAAGTGTTTCTCCTGGTTGGAAAATGATGTGTTTGCTTTGTTTCATGTGTGAGAACTAAACCTCAAGGCTTTAGTTCTAACAGGTTAGTATTGAAATCATCTCTGAGTCAAACAGGGCCGGCCCTTGGCATAGGCAGTATAGGTGAATGCTAAGGGCGCATCCATCCATGGGGGGGGCGCCGGAAATTGGGGGGAAGATACAAAATATGAATACTATTAACGATATTTGATAACAAAACAATTTCCCAATTTGGGATCAATAAAGTATATTATTATCCTATCTTAACAGAACTAGGCATACATAGCGTACAGCGCCCATAAACTATGGCAGGGGTCTGCAACCTTTTTGACCCAAAGAGACATTTTGCCCCCTTTTCCACCCATTATTTTGTCTGGTGCCGCGAAACATATCTGATAGCTTGATAGCCTATAACGTTGTATTGTTATATCATAGACAAAAACTACAGTTTGTTTGCATGTATTATGTATTACATTAAAGAAAACGGTTTACCTCTAATAATAAACAAATAACTCGTATAAGGAGAATAAAAAGAAATACACAGGCCTACTTTAAAATAAATGAAACACAGCACTTGGGGAGTCCTCTGCACATTTGAAGGAAATACAATTACAATGGGCCCACTTTGAACTAAATAAAAACCTACACACTGTGAAACAGCTCATGTGAGTTCAACTTGCAAATGAAAGTCCACCTGCTGCCTTGAAAAAGCAAATCAAGTCAACTTGAAGACAATCTTTGTTTCAACTCATCAATGCAAGTACATTTTGTTGATATGACTTAAAGGTTCTAGTTGTGTTAACATTGTTTTTTTAAGTTGTTTTAACTTTAAACTCAGAGTTGAAACAAATACCAATGTGACATTATTAGAGCAAGGAAACCTTATTTACCTCCTAGTCAAATAAACTCACATTTCAGTCTTATTATAACTCACACTTTCAAGTTCTACATTTATATAACTCATCATTTCAAGTTAAGAAGATTGTAATAATACATTTGTTTCTACTTAGATCTATTAGTTATATTGACTTCTGATTGCAAGTTTACATACATTTATAATAATTATTGCAGCAAATGTGTTAAGATATAACATTTATTTAAAACATGTTATACATCAACTGGAACACGGCATTTACTCGCTACAGGGTGTACTGAGGGTTTGTGACTCTGCACACTGGTTACAGAGAAAGCTACATCACACAGGGGACGGGTAAGAACAGAAAAGCATGACATGGGACCTTTAAATAAAAATGTTGGTTCATTAGGAAAGTTATTATCTCCCAAAGTATATACATTTAGACAATCAAACATTCAGTTCCGGAAAGCATAAGGGTTTACCACCTCTTTGCCCTCTTTTCTTTGTTTGGCCTGCTGACCTGACCTGACCTGCGCTGTACAAACTACAGATCCATCTCAAGGCTCAGCAGCCCTGCTGTCCCCCCATAAGGCTGAACCTGCAGCTGTTCTCCCAACTGAAGGAGGTGAGCAATGACATGCCACTTAACATATCTGAAGGGAGACTGGAATACAACATATATATATATCAAAACAAATATTTTTGGGGCCCAATGTGATATATTTTCATGGGGCCCAAAATCCCTGGCGGCACCCCTGTTTAGGATCACACTTTATCAATCCTTTTGATCGTTCAATCCGCACTTTAATCCAAGCATTGCGTCGTAACAAACATTTCTCTCTGCTCCATTCCGTTTCTTTTTATCTTGGCAGGCATCCAACATATATCCATATCCCGATCAGCTTTAATATCTTCCATCTGGCTTAAAAGTTCATCTCATCAATTGTATTAGTCCATTTACTCACTGTTCTTGTTGTCTTTTGTTTACTCGCGGCCCTCCGCATGGCTCATGGATCGTTGCGCAATCCACACTCTCTGTTCGCGGAGTCTCCTTCTTCCATTCACAAATATCCCAGCCGGGATTCCAGTCAGCGATGCGTCTTTGACATCAGTTATTCCAGCGGTCCGGAGTCTTTGACTATGTCGTGACCCATTCTTGTAGGATATTTAAAACTGTGCCACATTAACAGGGATCCGCTTCTTGACTCACACGTTAAAAACAGTCCAAATAAAACTCTGTAGGCGCTGATTTCTTTGCCTTCCTCTGGCGGATTTATTGACTTCTTCCATAAATTCAAACTAACAAATAAACAAAAATGATCAGTGTAACGTGAGGTCAAAGACTGTACCGATTCCCCGTTCCGTGCTGGAGACAATTTCCTGTGGCTCAGTCCCACCCCTTCCTTATAACAGCTGATTGATCACAATAATACATAAAGTTATTATTACTATTGCACAGATTAATTATTATTACATAGAGTATTGCTCAGATGAGTTATTATTACATAGAGTATTACTCAGATTAGTTATTATTATAGAATATTGATCAGATGAGTTATTATTACATAGAGTATTGCTCAGATTAGTTATTATTACATAGAGTATTGCTCAGATGAGTTATTATTACATAGAGTATTGATCAGATGAGTTATTATTACATAGAGTATTGATCAGATGAGTTATTATTACATAGAGTATTGCTCAGATTAATTATTATTACATAGAGTATTGCTCAGATTAATTATTATTTAAACTTTACTCGTCGTATTTTATATTTGATTATTCCGACAGTTTTCCTAAAATGTTGGAATTTGCTCAAATGTCTTAATCTCCATTATATTGTTCTCCTCCTCTCTCAGCAGAAATCTCTTACAAAAACCAAAGCGTCCATATTCATTCCTCTCTATATTCTGAAGCTTTCTACACACACACCGTTCACACACTCATTTATCAACAATTTATTGCAAAAAATGTGCAGAAAAAAACCTCTTTGAATTCAAACATAGCACAAACACAAATTATAAAGAAATCCAATTATAAATAAATCAACAAAAACTAAAGTGTGACTCCCAACCTGAACATGATTTCTGGTATATTAACTTTAATAAATAACAATGTAATACATGGACACATACAGGTCAATATCACCTTGCTATTGGTAGCTGAACTGTCAACACCCCAAAACATATTCTTAGATAGAAACACCTCATTTTGAGTTATTTAGACTTAATTAACAATTATAGTTTCATGTCTCGTTACATAAGAATAAAGCATATTTGTTAAGTGTTATTATGGGAGAATTACTATTCTTGTGGTACTGCTGCCTTATTAGGCCCATATTGAGCATATTAAGACTCATGTACAACAACTTCCTTACTTACAATAAATAATCACTAATTAGAGGGTTATTGAGGAAAAACTCTCAACTAATGGCTTATTACTTGTAGAATATGGTCATGTAGAATAAGGCATTAATAAGTGTTTTATAATGACTAACCCTTAGATGCATAAGTGGGTCTTTTTTGACCCGGTGAGGTGGTTTTCTTGAAGCATCTTT